AATGCCAGCCAATCACGAGACTGGGCCACCCCAAGGCTGCACAAAAGCCAGCCAATCGTGAGACTGGGCCACCCCTAGGGTTCGGCAAATGCCAGCCAATCACAAGGCTGGGCCACCCCTCAGGCTTGACAAATGCCAGCCAATTACAAGACTGGGCCACCCCAAGACTCTGGCAAAAGTCAGCCAATCATATGTAAATCTTTATTACTGAGAAGGCATGGTAGATACAAGCTATTCAAGCACTGAAGATTTACCATAATGATAAATTTAAAAAACATATTAGGAGATGTACCATATTGACAAAAGTATCGAGACACCCCTCCAAATCATTGAATTCAGGTGTTCCAATCACTTCCACAGCCACAGGTGTATAAAATCAAACACCTAGACATGCAAACTGCTTCTACAGATATTTGTGAAGAATGGGTCGCTCTCAGGAGCTCAGTGAATTCAAGCATGGTACCGTGATAGGATGCCACCTGTGTAATAAGGCCATTCATGAAATTTCCTCGCTACTAAATATTCCACGGTCAACTGTTAGTGGTATTACAACAATGTGGAAGCAATTAGGAACAACAGCAACTCGGCCACTAAGTGAATGAGGCGCACATTTGAGGTGCACAGTGTGCAGAAGTCGCCAACTGTCTGCAGGGTCAATAGCTACAGACCTCCAAACTTTGTGTGGCCTTCAGATTAGCTGAAGAACAGTGCGCAGAGAACTTCATGGAATGGGTTTCCATGGCCGAGCAGCTGCATCCAAGCCTTACATCACCAAGTGCAATGCAAAGCGTCGGATGCAGTGCTGTAAAGCACACTGCCACTGGACTCCAGAGCAGTGGAGACGTGTTCTCTGGAGTAACGAATCATGCTTCTCTGTCCGGTGGATGAGTCTGGGTTTGGCGGTTGCCAGGAGAACGGTACTTGCCTGACTGCATTGTGCCAAGTGTAAAGTTTGGAGGAGGGGGGATTATGGTGGGGGGTTGTTTGTCAGGGGTTGGGCTTGGACCCTTAGTTCCAGTGAGAGGAATTTTTAATGCTGCAGCATTCAAAGCCATTTTGGACAATTTCATGCTCCCAACTTTGTGGGAACAGTTAGGGGATGGCCCCTTCCTGTTCCAACATGACTGCACACCAGTGCACAAAGCAAGGTCCATAATAGATGAGAGAGTCTGGTGTGGAGGAACTTGACTGGCCTGCACAGAGCCCTGACCTCAACCCGATAGAACATCTTTGGGATGAATTAGAGCAGACACTTGAGATGATGACTGGTTGGGGGGGGGGGGGTGAATGGATCAGGCCTGCTGAGGCTGTTTACCTGCAGCTTCATGACAGCCCCCCTGCCACATGTGATGACACACGTTGTTCAATCTAGATGGTTGCTCAATATCCCTCCATTTTACAAGAAGCCTGTCGCAATGGGGCCAAGAATCACTATGGTCGACACATTGCTGCCTGTGGCTGCTTCCTGTGGCTCTAACTGCACAATATCAGAGCACTGGGGGGCATCGAATGTGAAGCCAGGTTTGTGAGCCTTGAATGCAATCAGAGTCTCTCCGTCCTTCTCTTTTAAAGCAATCAGTGTCTCTTCATCTTTCTCTTTTAAAGCAATAGGTGTCTCTCTATCCATCTCTTTTAAAGTAATCATGTCTATCCTTCTCTTTTAAAGCAATTGTGTCTCTCCATCCCTCTCTTTCTCATTCCATGACATCAGCCTTGCTTGGCATCCTTGGCTTGTTTGTGGTCCTACATCTCGCAGTAGCTGTGTCCTCCTCTAGGGGGAGCAGTGAGCAGGCTAATTCATTTAGGCAATTGACATCCCTGAACACATGAGGAATGGTCTATGCCATGTGGTATTTGGCAACTAAGACCTGCCAGCTGTACCGTGTCTATAATTCACCCAGATTACATCAGCTGGTGCGTTTCTAGCTTACCCAGAAGACCACTACATCTTGTGGGTCTAACGTTCCGAGTTATGAAGACTCAGAAAATCCACAGGATGTTATGAGTCCTTGCACGGCACATAAAAGATACCTCCAGACAGCTGCTAGCTGAGACATCAGCCTCCGCGAACCCCAAATGCAGGAAGGGATACAGGGGCGGGGCCATTGGGGCATTGGCCTCAGCTAAAAGCTGATTGGCCCGTGGAGTGGCCCCTCCCCTGTCACTCACCAATTCAAAAGATAGCATTGGCTAATGATATGGCTGGCCTCTCTGTATGAATGACAGCCCCTCTTACGCCACCCAAAATTTCCTAGAATTGCCCCTGCTCGAGGGATAAGGGGATTTCTATACATTTCCAGTCAGTGTTTGTTTGAAGATTTTACGGTAAGATCTTAATAATGGATAAATCACAGCGCACTTCTGGTGTAGAACGTCTGTCCAGGTGTTGCAGGGCTCATCGACCTCGGTGATCATCCTTCCAAAACTCACATTTGGATCTCGACTTACTGAAAAAGGTACTTAAGCCCCCAGAACTGAACTAGTGCTCAACTGCATGCATCTATGCAGCAATGACTGGGATCTCTAAATTGCCTGTCACTTTACTGAGTGTCTGGAGTCCTTCACCGTCCTGTTGCTCTAGATGGAAACGGAAATATTAGCACAAGAAAAAGGTGCCCTGAGTCTCAAATACACCGATAGAGTTGTTACTCAGTCCTCAATTCCATAAAACAGTCTCTTTTAACTAGGTTGTGGCTAAAAATACCCTGAGTCATTTCCTTAAGAGCTGGTGGGCACACACCCAGTCTGCTATGGGCAAGTGTGCAACAGGCATCTGCATGATTAAGTACTTTAACGGAAAAGGTGTATTCCCAAAGCACACAAGGACCCTCTGGAAAAAGAAAAAAAGACACATAGACTTGTGGGAGGAATGAAGACAGAAAAACAGCAGGAGCGAGGAAGACAGACAAGGAGCAGGGGTCAAGCCAAACATTCCCAGAAGGCCGCCTACATACCTGATGCCTAATAGTGTGGGGGTTTTAAACGGGGAACAAGTGGAGAGGCAGTTCAGCAGGTCCCGAGGATAAACCAGTCAAGAAACACTGAAGTACACATGGTTCGAATTACGGACACAGGCTCCCTTAAAAGCCTCCCCTGAGACGTTTGGGGGGGGGCTCTAAGACACTGTGCACTTTTGTGTTATAGGTTATATTTTATTTTCTGTACATTATGGTTCCTCAAAAGAAAATAGTATGCACGTGACAATGTTGCGCATTTATTCGTTCATTACATTACATTCTCCGAACATCTGTCTCCACTAATTAACTCAGTTCTGTGTTTATTCTCTCCGCGGCCATCCATTCGTGGCGAATTATTAGATTTATATATTTTTGCATGTGAATTCGGACCATCGAATTTCCCATGCATATTTCCAATGCATAAATATTCAATGTTAGAATTTCAGTGGCATATAAAATTCAAATTGTGATGACAGATTTACTTCCATAGATTTACGTACCAGCCGAAGCCCTCGTCGCTGAGTGGACGTATAGGTATCTGAATGGAAGTCGTTAAATTAAGAAGGCAAACAGTGTTGGTTTCCAGTATTTCCGGGCGGTTATTGAATAGTCAGAATGTTCTAATACGACTGTTCTAAGCCTCTCTGCGGCGGAAATACATATGCAATCTAGGATTCCAAGTAGTGCGTAGTGCCCCTTGCTATATATAGTCTTGCACGCATTATCAATATGCACCGTTTAAAATTCAAGGCGACCTTAATTTCCAGCCATGTATGCGACGACTCGATGAAATTGCGGGTAACATGTTCTCGTTATCATTGGTTGAATTCGTTAGGCATAATTGGGCTACTCCATATTTAGAAACCAATTAAACGCTAACGCTGCTTTGAACCCCAAACACGGTGAATAAAACCGGCAGTTTTATCCAACTCTTAATGCTTCAATCCGATTGAGATTAAAATTAATCGTAGGTGTAACCGGTAGAAACGGAGCAAAGTGCTGTAAACTAGACAAAGGTATACATTTGAATAGCAGCTGACTGAGCAGTGTGTAGCACTGTATCGGCATCTCTCCACGCGTCCGGAAGGCTGTGGGTTCACATCCTATGGTCTGTAGGCTATTGGAGTATCCTTCTTATTGCTGAGCTCTTTTTATTATTTTATTAACCTTAGCCCTCTAACCCCAGATGATCTTTCATTGGTAGCAACACGGGGAGCGTGAAAACCTTTGAAATTCGCACATTTTAATCTTAATTTAATATTTATCGTGTGTTAATTTTATCCGACAGTGGTCAGACAAAACAGTATGTGTATAACGGTATACATATGGCTTCTGTGCGACTTGTGCGTTTCCAGGCATAAAACTTTTCCCCCTTCAAAACAGAACAATTTGTGTCGTTATCAGGACAAATTAAACCACCAGCGGCCAGATTTCAGCCGATTAACTCAAAATGGCAATTTTCCTTTTAGGGGGCAGAGAATGCAGCTGTAGCTACCTGCGTTTTGTTTAGACAACATAAGCCGTGTTATTTCTACTACAAGTGTGACTCACTCGTTAAAAAAAACATGACCGCTCTTGAACGCGGGGGAAGCCGTCTGTCGAGCTGGGCTTCCCCGTCCGCCTACGCGGGTTTATGACTCAAGGCCAATTCATACTGAAAATCCGGAACCGATATGTCATGTATTTTTAGAATCATATGAGCACATTAGGTTATGTTGCTGAATATGAAACTAGCGACTAAGTGTAATTATTTGCGTGATTAGAGCGCGTCTTTACAAAACCCGAAATCTGATGACCAGTATCAACGGGTATCGACTTTTAAAGTGGACCAAGATCATTCAGACAGTGCAGTAGGACAGGATATGCTGCTCCTGTTCAGATCAGGCTGGCATTCTAATTTTAGCTTCAGATGTTGTGTCGTTGATTCTTTCGCCTTGTCTGCATTGCACATTGTAACTTTCAGTAGTTATAGGCATACTGGCGAACAGTCCCGGTTGATTCCTCGGTAATTTCACGCGCGAAGGTATAAATTCATGTGATTAATGAAGGTAAACAATATTATTTAAAGACGTGACGTACATGAAACCAGCTACAGGGTGTTGGCTTAACTTATAGGCTGTCCCATTTGAAAACACGCCTCATTACAGCTAAGGCCGCAGTTCAGTGACCAGCCAGTACAATTGGTTCAGATCCCAGCATTGTGCAATTTGTTTCTTGAAGCAGAGTTCTGATAGGATCACGCCATACACATAGTGTGCGGGGTGTGGAAGGCGGGACTACCATGAAATGACAGCCAGCATACCTGAGATTGGCCCAGAAAATTTCTTCAGTAAATACAAGCAGGTGCCAAATAAAAATCAGTCCAGACATCTGCATCGGAAGACTAAAATCCACTACTCAGCAACAATGAAAGTAAAATACAAAATCCGTAAACATAGTTTCCTTCTGTTATTGAATCGAACCGATATTATCTTACAAAATCTCCCACGTGGTTGTACGCGCCTGTGCATTTGCACCAGTGTCACTGTTCACAGCTAGACCACGGGGGGAAAATAAACCAGATCTAATGTTAATGAACCACGAAAGAGGAGACCCCGCTGGGCTCCAGCCTAACTGAGCTCCTCTGTGCCGGCAAGGCCCCGGGGACCGTGCAGGTGGGCGTCGCCCTCCCGGCGTCCAGCTGTCTGTCGGCGTCGCTACGAGCGGCGGCTAGCTAGCGCTGGCAGGTCCCGGCTCGACGGCTCAGCTTCTCCTCCTGGGCTCGGTGTGCACCATGGGCCACACGCTGCACAGGAACTGGACAGGGGGCATCCTCGTCTCTCATTATTATCATTAACAGAGAACAGGCTACCACTAGGCTTTGATCATGCTGCCATCTGCTGTTTGCATCGTGAACTGCAGCCGGATAATACCAACCTTCACTTGGGGTCTTCGTCTGAGGTATGTGGCCCTCGTCTGGAGGCTAAGGAAGGGCAGAGGGTTTTTGTCAGGCGGGGAAGAGTCGTTTCGGGTGAACTCTGACCGTTCAGACACCCTTGTTTCACCATGACGCGTCAACCATTTGCGGAGGAGCAATGGTATCAATGAAGGTTTGCCGTTGTCATGTTTTACCTCAGGAGGATGTGCAGGTGTGAGCCCAGGCCTGTCAGGATGTGCCACCAGGCATGGAACTGGGTAACTGCCCCGATCAATGGGGGCAGGTTCTGGCGGCTCGCCCTGTAGAAGGGGCAGATGATCGAAAACCAAGCATGAGACCAAAATAAACTACTCCGTCCCCGAGATTTAGCAAAGACTCCATATAAAGAAAATGACCAGCTGTGAGTTGCCAGGGAGACACCTTGACCCTGCCGTTACAAGGTCTCTCTGAGGCCGATCGGCCCTACGAAAAATGATTAGCTCAGATGGATAACCAATCAGATTGCAGAAGTGGGTCCTCTAGTTGCTCGGACCCACCTCCTCTGCGATCTGATTGGTTATCTCTCTCAACCAATCATTTTTCGTTCTGCCCTCACGTAAGTAAAACCCCCACGAGCACCTCAGGCCTCTACCTCAGTGTGTCACACAGCAGGTTGTCCACGTTCCAGAAGACGAAGCCCAGGAAGAAGATGGCCAGTGAGGCGTAACACAGGGACCTATGCCACGGGTACACCCTGCCAGAGCCGGGATGAGGACAAGCATTTATTTACACCTCTGTCATCCAGCAGCTGCACGTAAAAAAATAAAATAAAAATAGCCCTCCTGGGGCCGGGAGGCACCACTGCGCCCCCTGCTGATCAGCACTGGAAATACCGCTCAGCCACTTACCATGTGACTATGTAGACAGACCGCAGGACCAAACAGCCCACCAGTATTCCATACATGACCTGGGGAGGGGGGGGGGGAGGTCTCCATTACACAAAGCCGTTTACCAAACGCTCTGTCCTCAGACGCAAACACCTCGCTTCAGAATGGTGCATAAATCCAGGGAAACGGGGAAGAAAATGCCAGACGACAACGGAGGAGAGGAAGAAAAGCCTCCTGAGAAGAGACCTCCAAGGTCGACTGGCTTTCTAACATCATAGAAGTAGGGCGTAAACTCAGAGTCCATCAGCAAACAAACCCCCACGCAGGCCTGTGTGAAGCAGCGGCTCCTAGGCCACACCTGTCGGAGCTCGTAACCCTTTAAAATTACCCAGCAGCACTCAAAACAATCTGCCCTGGGGTGCAACGTCTCGACGGCCGGGACTGTCATGATGGGGCAGACACTGTTCCAGGTGCGTTGCTAGACACAGCTGTACTGGGGCACAGCCCCCCTCCACCCCCCATTACCCATATGATTTTTTTGGAAATCTCTGTGACCGTGAAATCCCGTGTTTCGCACAATAACTTTTAAACTTTCCAGTGCCGTTAATTTTGCATTTGTCCAAACCAAAACATAGTGCTCCCAGTGTGTACAATAGTAACTTTGTACATACAGGGGCATAATTTAGATGGTTTGTATATTATAAAAAGGTCTTAACAGGAAATGACAAAGAAATTTGACATGCAAAGTGTACTGTACAGTACTGTTTAGAAATTGGTAATAGACTTCTGATCTTATCATTCTGGCTAGCAGACTGATATATATTGAGGCTAGGGAGTGATCATCAGCAAATCTTCACCCTTGTGAATGTGTTACTATATTACCGGGGGGGGTGACCCACCTCCTTCAGTATCAGACAAGTGTTAAAAACGGACTTGGATCTCTGCCCAAATCTCTGTCAGATTCCTAGCAAACAAAAGGGCTCAGTTTCCTCAAGATCGCTGCTCACTGACCTGATGAAACACCGGCTCTTTCCACTGCAAGTACACCTAAGAGGAAAGGGATGCACTTTAGTTACCTTACTACACGCACAACGGGACAGTCACGGCTGCGGACTGAGGATCGGACAGACGTTAAATCACAAGGCATTAAGTGTGTGGGGTTATCTGCAAACGTAACAGCAGAGTTAATTATCACAAACACTCAGGTAAAAGGAGCTGTCAAAGGGCAGTTACATATATTACATATATCAGTCATATCTATGAGAACAATGCAAAATAAAATGTACTCAATTGAAATGGCGTTGAAGTTGGCACACTCACCACAGTAACTGCAATGCTGAATCCTGCCAAAACTACGATTGGAATGTAATTTATAGAGTTCTCCTGCTTGAAACATTCGTATCTGCAATACAGACAAAATCTTACCCCGGAACAGCCACCGTACTTGGACGCAATGTTGAGTGTGAAAAAGCTGACAACGTCTCGCCACTAGATGGCAGTCAAAGCATGTAAACAAACCTGTCGTACTTCAAACACATATGGTCGGTTCGCCACTGACGGCTGTAATATGCCATTTGACGCCGCACACGTTTCACAGAACTAACTCGTCAAATCACCTCAGCAATAGGGAACCTCCGGCAGGTTATGGTAAGTTTCCGTGGGCGCAGTCGGAAGCATTTGCCAGTGGTTGTTTTTAAGTTCCACAGTGGGGTAACTGCTAGTCAGGCCGTAACACAGGGACCTAACACAAGGATGATCAGATCTGAATGTGCCTGTGACAGTCAGCCTTTCCGCCTCCTTTTGGGGGTGGGGGGGGCGTCTCTGCAGGTCGGCGGGTGCGTGGGCAGCCAGATGGGCACACTCACAGGCAGTAGACGAAGACGCAGCAGCTGTAAATCATCGGCAGCTCGTCGAGTAACTGCAGGACGGAGGGAGCGAGAGAGAACACAGAGAAAGGAACACGCACACAGCCAGCCAATCGCACGGAGGCAAATCGGCCAGAAAAAGCAGAGGCAGCAACATCTTCCCCTGGAGGCCAGAGTGGTTTCCCCCCCCCCCAAGTAAAAGTACAGGATGCTCTCTGCTAAACAGCCTTATACACAAAACCTCTTTCATAGCTTTTGGTTTGTGGCTCAGTGAGTTAGGACCCTGCGCCTGTGATAAAAAGGCTGCAGGTTCAAATCCCAGGGTCAGCAGAGTGATGTCACCACTGGGCCCCTAATGGCTCTAGGGAATGAATGACCCTGATTTCTCAATGGTACATTTCTTTGGATTAGAGCATCTGCTAAATAAATAAAACATAACACCCCCCCTCCACATTTTTAAAACCTAACCCACTTATGGCAGATAGTTTCTGAAATTGAGGCTTAGACTGTTCTTCCCTCCCTTAAATTCCGACGGCCTCTTTGACGGACGTCCTTCATGCAGGAGCAGCTCACCTGCATCTCGTACTGCAGCGTCATGTGGAAGCACCAGGAGCCGATACCCACAGCTGCAAGACAGGAGAGACCAATACAGTGTTTATCTCCCACTCATCGTGTGCCAATGGCAGGGGCATTACCAGGATGCCAACCTGGGGTGGGCATCTCAGTGGGCACTAAGGTTCAAATTGGAGGGGGGGGGTTGCGATAATAGAAGTTTAACTTTTTAGCAATTCTATTAAATCGCTAAATGACTGGTTAAACTGGTGCGGGCAGATGATCTGACTGGATGGGCACTGCCCAGCCATTGGCCACTGGTAGCCACGCCCCTGTCCAATGACAAACGCACCTGCAGGCGACCCGATTTGGCGGGAAACCCAAGTCTGGGCCTGGCATCGCCAAGCCTTCTTCCCGCATGCAAGCTCCAACAAGCTGAACAGCGGCAGTAACCCTCGTCAGCTTTGAACACCATCTGAGAGAGATTAACAAGCCCCTGTCGAGCTCCTCCCGCTTTCAGGAGCACCTTCTGGGTGTGTCCGCGCTGGCTGGCCTCCACGACGCTCCCACTCAACAAAGCCCACGCACTCCCGACACAAACCCGCGTTCCGGTACCGCATTCCAGCAGCCGAGCCGGGTTGGGTAAGGCTCCAGGATTATTTAGGTCAAAGTTGGAAATCAGTGACCAGAGGTCACTTACAACCCACTTTCACTGTGTGTATGAGACGGATCAGCTGTAATGTAGACACGGTCGGTATCTAATCTTTCTCATCAACTTCTTCACAAACGAAAAGCAAGCAGATGTAACACAAGTTCACCCATGGGGCAAAGTTCTTTAAACCGGGGTTGTTATGGTGATTGTCAGATATGTCTCAAATTTCTTATAATGAATATTAATCCACTATCGTGGGTGTTTGTGTGTGTAAGCATTTTCTTTTCAATGCCACTACACCAAGTCTAGTTGTTCATTTCAAAGAGCTACTGGGATCCTTCTGACAAGGAAATCCCTAAGAATGAAGTTAAGTGACAATATGAGTGTTAAATGACAATAAACCAGGATGGCACCGCGGCAGCTGATAACCGGCTCAGCGTGGAGGTGAACGTCAGGCGAGCTTCAGAGAGACTCAAACTCACCTGCGAGGCCCAGGAAGGCGAAGACGTAGCGAGTCTCCAAGCCATCCTTCAGGGTTTGCAGGGCGCCGTAAAGGGGAGGTACGATCATGATGAGGTTGCTCATGGTGTTCCCTACGGACCACAAGGTGGGGAGATCCTTTAACAAAGTGTTTCTCAACCCAATTCCCACAAACATCCTGACAGTCCACATTTTGCTCCCAAAAAGGAGCAAAAATGTGTACCTTCTGCGGGACCCAGAGGACTGGGTTGAAAAATACTGCTCTAACACGTAAAGACTGCCCACTACACTGGGTCATTAGCTGTATTAAACCACCTACTAAAGTGTAGGCCAGCAGGGGGCGTGGTTCTCAAAGACAACGGAACCTCACTTCGGTTCGAAAGCATATTCCACACTAACGTAACAGCTTCAAGCAAAGTGTTTATTGATTCCTCGAGGGAAAACAGCCACATTACAGCCAATAAATTCGTGGCAGCTTCCAAGGCGCACTGTATTTCCCGAAGACAGTCATCGCCTTGTATTCCATAATTAAAGTTCCAGTTTAGAGCGTTGGGAGGCGGGAGTCTTTTTGCACAGTTGCCAGCTTACACTCCTGAGAAACTTCCTGCAGTTTTTTGGATATCTGGTGAAGTAAAAGCCGCGCAGTCGTTTTAACCCGTACAGCACTTGGGAGAGTTAAGCTAAACTCATAAGATCGGCTTCCTTTTCGGGCGGACGTGTGGGCTCAGGGTGCGGGCAGGTATGCAGCGAGATAAGCTGGGATAATATCGCGTGTGCAAAAACCTTAAAAGATCCGAGAAAAAGAAGCAGGTTTCTCCGGACTCAAGATACCGATCGCGCCGGCGTTTGCGATCGCTAACGGGCGCCAGGGATGTAGGTCCGAGGAAAAGCGCCGAGTATGTCACTTTAAAAGCACGGCGTCACAGCAAAGCGGCGGTCTCACGTAGACGCAGTTTACTTTGTTTCAAAATCGGAAGGTGACGAATCGCGGTCGGGCCAGCAGGCGCCGAAATGAAAAAGTGAGCATTTTCACTCGATTAAACGTTAATCGATTTGTGATATGTACGGGTGCTGGTCCTCAATGAATGATTAGGTCACATCTGAGGGGAAGGGGGAGGGGGTACTGAAATCTGGCGATTGCAGCAGCCCTGGAAGGTACAGATGATGATGTTGATTCTTATAATTATGACGATAGTGTTGATGATGATGATGATGAGGGAGCGACATACCCTAATGCACCGTACGGCTCGTACGGCTCTGATCCGCAAATGCCGCGCCCCTCTTTTGCATGCCTCCCCGGCTCATCGTAACACAGCCCGGGCACCGTGCGCTGTGCTGGCGCAGCCGAGCCAAAGCCTCACTCCGCCGGAGCGATCCGGAGGCAGGGCCCCGTCCAGGCGTAACATTGCATTTTCCCTCTGTGTAGAAACCATTAAAACCCCAAAGGACCGAGCGCTCCTGCATTTCCCTCGCCCCGGTTTTACTCACAGAACTCGGCGATGTAGAAAGACACGGCGTAGTTCTCTTCGCACCAGTCCAACGTGGAGGTCGGGCGGCCCCAGTATCCCTGCCTGTCTACGGAGGGAGCCATGATGGAAAGTCAGCAGCCGGGCGAGTGTCTGCAGGAGGGGGGTAAATCCCGTCACTATGGCGACGGGCACAGAGGGCAGCGCTGGGGGGCATCACCTGTGCCCAGGTAAGCTTCCGCCTTTAGGGCGCCGGCATGCTCCGGGTAATTACTACTGTCAAACGCACCGCCTTCCTCATTATATATGCAACCTTTTTTACTGTCTCTGTCGCTTTACACTTGTTATCTATTTATTTAATGCATTCGTCTCTTTATTTATGTGACATTTATTTAGTCTGTTTATGTCACCTATTTATTTATTGCCTTCGTCTCTTTACACACACACACACACACACACACACACACACACACACATATATATATATATAACCTAATCTATTTATTGCCTTCGTCTCTTTATATATTATCTATTTACCGCATTCGTTTATTTATATTATCCATTTATTTACTGCCTTCGTTACTTTATTTATATCGGCTATTTATTTAATGCCTACGTCTGTATGTTTTGCACTGAATTGATCACGTTACCGTTTTCCCTTGAGAAAATGTTGATAAAAAAACACTAAATCACTAATCGGACTTCCTTGTGGTTGTGTATTTATATAGACTTTATTTTCTGCTTAATCTCTGAAAAGCAAAGAGATGAAGTGATTCTGGAACTGAATAGGCTTATTGCGTAAGTAATTAAAAAATACTTTCGCGATTAGGTGTGATCTGTTTGTGAATAGGTTTGCGAGTAGTTGCAGCAGTTTCTATGTCGACAGCAATCCAAACTAACGCAGCTGTCGTCATTTTGTTACCGTCTGTGTTGTTCTGTCCAAAACCAAAAGAACCGTATTGTTTATTGCCAACTGACAGTCCTCCGAGATGTAGGCGTATAGATAAAAACATCAAGGTTGGCACAAACCTTTTTAGGCATTAAAACACTTAAGGCAAACTCTATGAACGGCAGAGCTCTGGAGACATTAAAGAGCCCATTATCACGGGTAATGACATAACACGCCCACTGTAACTCCTTAAATGAGTGATGGCGTTTATATCGCATGGAAAACAAAATACTATCAGCTAACGATAAAATAGTTACGCGTGTCCTTCTTTTCCCTTTGCGATTAGGAACAGCAGGTCCTTGTCAGTTGTTTCACTGTGTATGAATTGTACCGCTGGGAACCCAGATAAGAACATAAGAACATAAGAAATTTACAAATGAGGGGAGGCCATTTGGCCCATCAAGCTCGTTTGGGGAGAACTTAACTAATAGCTCAGAGTTGTTAAAATCTTATCTAGCTCTGATTTAAAGGAACCCATGGTTTTAGCTTCCACTAC